AATAAGAATTGCATCGGCCGGGAATCGAACCCGGGCCGCCCGCGTGGCAGGCGAGCATTCTACCACTGAACCACCGATGCGACGGTTGCATGCTTTCTTCACGCTTTTCTTCGCATTGCAATCGCTCGACTGCACTCAAAGAAATCTAGACGTGGAAGCAAAATAAGAATTGCATCGGCCGGGAATCGAACCCGGGCCGCCCGCGTGGCAGGCGAGCATTCTACCACTGAACCACCGATGCGACGGTTGCATGCTTTCTTCACGCTTTTCTTCGCATTGCAATCGCTCGACTGCACTCAAAGAAATCTAGACGTGGAAGCAAAATAAGAATTGCATCGGCCGGGAATCGAACCCGGGCCGCCCGCGTGGCAGGCGAGCATTCTACCACTGAACCACCGATGCGACGGTTGCATGCTTTCTTCACGCTTTTCTTCGCATTGCAATCGCTCGACTGCACTCAAAGAAATCTAGACGTGGAAGCAAAATAAGAATTGCATCGGCCGGGAATCGAACCCGGGCCGCCCGCGTGGCAGGCGAGCATTCTACCACTGAACCACCGATGCGACGGTTGCATGCTTTCTTCACGCTTTTCTTCGCATTGCAATCGCTCGACTGCACTCAAAGAAATCTAGACGTGGAAGCAAAATAAGAATTGCATCGGCCGGGAATCGAACCCGGGCCGCCCGCGTGGCAGGCGAGCATTCTACCACTGAACCACCGATGCGACGGTTGCATGCTTTCTTCACGCTTTTCTTCGCATTGCAATCGCTCGACTGCACTCAAAGAAATCTAGACGTGGAAGCAAAATAAGAATTGCATCGGCCGGGAATCGAACCCGGGCCGCCCGCGTGGCAGGCGAGCATTCTACCACTGAACCACCGATGCGACGGTTGCATGCTTTCTTCACGCTTTTCTTCGCATTGCAATCGCTCGACTGCACTCAAAGAAATCTAGACGTGGAAGCAAAATAAGAATTGCATCGGCCGGGAATCGAACCCGGGCCGCCCGCGTGGCAGGCGAGCATTCTACCACTGAACCACCGATGCGACGGTTGCATGCTTTCTTCACGCTTTTCTTCGCATTGCAATCGCTCGACTGCACTCAAAGAAATCTAGACGTGGAAGCAAAATAAGAATTGCATCGGCCGGGAATCGAACCCGGGCCGCCCGCGTGGCAGGCGAGCATTCTACCACTGAACCACCGATGCGACGGTTGCATGCTTTCTTCACGCTTTTCTTCGCATTGCAATCGCTCGACTGCACTCAAAGAAATCTAGACGTGGAAGCAAAATAAGAATTGCATCGGCCGGGAATCGAACCCGGGCCGCCCGCGTGGCAGGCGAGCATTCTACCACTGAACCACCGATGCGACGGTTGCATGCTTTCTTCACGCTTTTCTTCGCATTGCAATCGCTCGACTGCACTCAAAGAAATCTAGACGTGGAAGCAAAATAAGAATTGCATCGGCCGGGAATCGAACCCGGGCCGCCCGCGTGGCAGGCGAGCATTCTACCACTGAACCACCGATGCGACGGTTGCATGCTTTCTTCACGCTTTTCTTCGCATTGCAATCGCTCGACTGCACTCAAAGAAATCTAGACGTGGAAGCAAAATAAGAATTGCATCGGCCGGGAATCGAACCCGGGCCGCCCGCGTGGCAGGCGAGCATTCTACCACTGAACCACCGATGCGACGGTTGCATGCTTTCTTCACGCTTTTCTTCGCATTGCAATCGCTCGACTGCACTCAAAGAAATCTAGACGTGGAAGCAAAATAAGAATTGCATCGGCCGGGAATCGAACCCGGGCCGCCCGCGTGGCAGGCGAGCATTCTACCACTGAACCACCGATGCGACGGTTGCATGCTTTCTTCACGCTTTTCTTCGCATTGCAATCGCTCGACTGCACTCAAAGAAATCTAGACGTGGAAGCAAAATAAGAATTGCATCGGCCGGGAATCGAACCCGGGCCGCCCGCGTGGCAGGCGAGCATTCTACCACTGAACCACCGATGCGACGGTTGCATGCTTTCTTCACGCTTTTCTTCGCATTGCAATCGCTCGACTGCACTCAAAGAAATCTAGACGTGGAAGCAAAATAAGAATTGCATCGGCCGGGAATCGAACCCGGGCCGCCCGCGTGGCAGGCGAGCATTCTACCACTGAACCACCGATGCGACGGTTGCATGCTTTCTTCACGCTTTTCTTCGCATTGCAATCGCTCGACTGCACTCAAAGAAATCTAGACGTGGAAGCAAAATAAGAATTGCATCGGCCGGGAATCGAACCCGGGCCGCCCGCGTGGCAGGCGAGCATTCTACCACTGAACCACCGATGCGACGGTTGCATGCTTTCTTCACGCTTTTCTTCGCATTGCAATCGCTCGACTGCACTCAAAGAAATCTAGACGTGGAAGCAAAATAAGAATTGCATCGGCCGGGAATCGAACCCGGGCCGCCCGCGTGGCAGGCGAGCATTCTACCACTGAACCACCGATGCGACGGTTGCATGCTTTCTTCACGCTTTTCTTCGCATTGCAATCGCTCGACTGCACTCAAAGAAATCTAGACGTGGAAGCAAAATAAGAATTGCATCGGCCGGGAATCGAACCCGGGCCGCCCGCGTGGCAGGCGAGCATTCTACCACTGAACCACCGATGCGACGGTTGCATGCTTTCTTCACGCTTTTCTTCGCATTGCAATCGCTCGACTGCACTCAAAGAAATCTAGACGTGGAAGCAAAATAAGAATTGCATCGGCCGGGAATCGAACCCGGGCCGCCCGCGTGGCAGGCGAGCATTCTACCACTGAACCACCGATGCGACGGTTGCATGCTTTCTTCACGCTTTTCTTCGCATTGCAATCGCTCGACTGCACTCAAAGAAATCTAGACGTGGAAGCAAAATAAGAATTGCATCGGCCGGGAATCGAACCCGGGCCGCCCGCGTGGCAGGCGAGCATTCTACCACTGAACCACCGATGCGACGGTTGCATGCTTTCTTCACGCTTTTCTTCGCATTGCAATCGCTCGACTGCACTCAAAGAAATCTAGACGTGGAAGCAAAATAAGAATTGCATCGGCCGGGAATCGAACCCGGGCCGCCCGCGTGGCAGGCGAGCATTCTACCACTGAACCACCGATGCGACGGTTGCATGCTTTCTTCACGCTTTTCTTCGCATTGCAATCGCTCGACTGCACTCAAAGAAATCTAGACGTGGAAGCAAAATAAGAATTGCATCGGCCGGGAATCGAACCCGGGCCGCCCGCGTGGCAGGCGAGCATTCTACCACTGAACCACCGATGCGACGGTTGCATGCTTTCTTCACGCTTTTCTTCGCATTGCAATCGCTCGACTGCACTCAAAGAAATCTAGACGTGGAAGCAAAATAAGAATTGCATCGGCCGGGAATCGAACCCGGGCCGCCCGCGTGGCAGGCGAGCATTCTACCACTGAACCACCGATGCGACGGTTGCATGCTTTCTTCACGCTTTTCTTCGCATTGCAATCGCTCGACTGCACTCAAAGAAATCTAGACGTGGAAGCAAAATAAGAATTGCATCGGCCGGGAATCGAACCCGGGCCGCCCGCGTGGCAGGCGAGCATTCTACCACTGAACCACCGATGCGACGGTTGCATGCTTTCTTCACGCTTTTCTTCGCATTGCAATCGCTCGACTGCACTCAAAGAAATCTAGACGTGGAAGCAAAATAAGAATTGCATCGGCCGGGAATCGAACCCGGGCCGCCCGCGTGGCAGGCGAGCATTCTACCACTGAACCACCGATGCGACGGTTGCATGCTTTCTTCACGCTTTTCTTCGCATTGCAATCGCTCGACTGCACTCAAAGAAATCTAGACGTGGAAGCAAAATAAGAATTGCATCGGCCGGGAATCGAACCCGGGCCGCCCGCGTGGCAGGCGAGCATTCTACCACTGAACCACCGATGCGACGGTTGCATGCTTTCTTCACGCTTTTCTTCGCATTGCAATCGCTCGACTGCACTCAAAGAAATCTAGACGTGGAAGCAAAATAAGAATTGCATCGGCCGGGAATCGAACCCGGGCCGCCCGCGTGGCAGGCGAGCATTCTACCACTGAACCACCGATGCGACGGTTGCATGCTTTCTTCACGCTTTTCTTCGCATTGCAATCGCTCGACTGCACTCAAAGAAATCTAGACGTGGAAGCAAAATAAGAATTGCATCGGCCGGGAATCGAACCCGGGCCGCCCGCGTGGCAGGCGAGCATTCTACCACTGAACCACCGATGCGACGGTTGCATGCTTTCTTCACGCTTTTCTTCGCATTGCAATCGCTCGACTGCACTCAAAGAAATCTAGACGTGGAAGCAAAATAAGAATTGCATCGGCCGGGAATCGAACCCGGGCCGCCCGCGTGGCAGGCGAGCATTCTACCACTGAACCACCGATGCGACGGTTGCATGCTTTCTTCACGCTTTTCTTCGCATTGCAATCGCTCGACTGCACTCAAAGAAATCTAGACGTGGAAGCAAAATAAGAATTGCATCGGCCGGGAATCGAACCCGGGCCGCCCGCGTGGCAGGCGAGCATTCTACCACTGAACCACCGATGCGACGGTTGCATGCTTTCTTCACGCTTTTCTTCGCATTGCAATCGCTCGACTGCACTCAAAGAAATCTAGACGTGGAAGCAAAATAAGAATTGCATCGGCCGGGAATCGAACCCGGGCCGCCCGCGTGGCAGGCGAGCATTCTACCACTGAACCACCGATGCGACGGTTGCATGCTTTCTTCACGCTTTTCTTCGCATTGCAATCGCTCGACTGCACTCAAAGAAATCTAGACGTGGAAGCAAAATAAGAATTGCATCGGCCGGGAATCGAACCCGGGCCGCCCGCGTGGCAGGCGAGCATTCTACCACTGAACCACCGATGCGACGGTTGCATGCTTTCTTCACGCTTTTCTTCGCATTGCAATCGCTCGACTGCACTCAAAGAAATCTAGACGTGGAAGCAAAATAAGAATTGCATCGGCCGGGAATCGAACCCGGGCCGCCCGCGTGGCAGGCGAGCATTCTACCACTGACCACCGATGTTGCACCACCGATGCAATCGCTCGATGGAAATCTCGCGAGTTTTTTTATTAACTGAATAGTGACTTTGGTTGGAATATTTTGAGATAGGATGCTCTAATTTTTTTATAAATGTGATAGTTAGATATAGGAATATTTATTTCCATATATTTGTACTTTTTCTTTTTAATATGTTTCTTAACAGAATTTTTGCATTTTTATATTTACGCGTATCAATATATCATGTATCTCGCTGCGACTCTTGTTTTCATGTTTTTTGTGCTTGGAACATGTGTTTTCTAATCTAGCACATTTTATTTATATAAAAAAAAAAAAATTATTGTGAGGGCAGCCAGAATTTTGCGAATTCTTAGTCGTTTTTATTATTTGAAATTTTTTGGCAGAATTAGTAAATATTTTTTGTTTGATTGTTAATACTGTGTGGTGAAATATTTTGTGATTCTGTTGAGAGTGTTTTTTTTTATTCTCATTAATTATCCGTATAAAAGACGTTTATTATAAATAAATTTTATATAAGTCATACATTAAATTGCTTGTTTTTGAAATATGTCTTTTGAAAAAAATAAAGGAAATAAGAGAATTTATAGTGTTTTTTAAATTATTCTGTTTGAAAATACTTTTAAACCGTTTATTGTTACTTAAATAAAAAAAAAGGATTAAAATGTAATTTTTTTTAACACATTACATTTTTTTACGATGATTACAATAAAAGAAGTTAACCTGGAGGAAAATATGTTTAAAACTTTACTCAAAGAAACAGCACTCTGACCTTTAAGCCCCTTGAATGATTGATTGATTGAATATTAACGTCGCACTGTTCAGCTACACGAGGGCTTTTGGCGACGGACCACGTAATTTTGAACCATGGTCAAGTGACGTGGACGACACCTGAGCTGGCACCCCCCTCTCCTAACTACCACACCACACCAACGGGAGGACGTTTCAGCTCTCGACAGATTTAACGTGCATCGCTGCCCTACACGGCGGGTCTTTAGTGGTACAGGATTCGAACCCGTGACAAAGCAAGCCACGGTCCGATACCTATACCACTCGGCTACCGCGGCCACCTTAAGCCCCTTGAAAGTAACCTGTTAAATAAAAGCATATAATTGTATTTCCTTTTTCTTTTTTTTTTTAATTCATCAATTTCATCTTGTTCATAAGCATTTCAACCCTAAAAACAACGTTAATGAGAAAAACAATTTTTCTTTTTCAAAAAATAAATCTTTTCCCTTTGACTGCAGAAGTTTTAATTGACAGAATTTTGAAAAAAGAATAAGCCAGTTTTAGAAGTATGTCATATTAAATGTATAATTATAATCATGTTTCTATAATCATTGCACGTTGTTCAACATAGTCACTTCAAAAATGATAAAAATTAATCACTGATTCGACGTTCCAAAGATAAGTATCAGAAGAAGAAAAATGTCCCATAGTATAATTTTATTCACTCCATGGTTTAAGCTAAGTTCTTTCTAAAAAAATTAATTCGAATCACGCAATTAACTTTTACGAGATAAGTTTGAAAAGGATAGGACGCTGATAAAAAAAAGCATTTTAACTGAACGCCAGATGCAAAGTGGGTAGATGTATGACATGTTCATCAAAAAATTATCGGTCATGCAGTCAAAAATTTCTTACTGTTATTTCTTCTATGACTCTAACGCAGGAAATAAACTAACGCGACGGCAAATGAATAATTAATTTGCCATTTAATTCTTTGAAACGTTCACTTTAAAAGATCATGATATTGATTTTTCTAATGAGTTTTATGATAAGTTTAACTCTCTCCATCAATATTTTAATTAAATTAAAACTGAGATTTCGGTACTTGGCAATAGATCAATGGTATTGTTCGAGCATGCGCAGTGAGCGCCCCGGCGTTGATTAGGTGTATTAAGCGAAACGAGAATTAAGTTTTCAGAGTGTGTGTGGGAGATCACACGAGCGAGAGCGTGGAATTGCGGTGCCCATCGCAAGTGTTCCGACCTACACCCCGAGTGTGAAAATAAAGGTGTTTTGTCAACATCTCATCTGGTTTCATGAGAGCAAACACATAGGGACCACTCCCCAACAGGAATAATGAGTGAAGGGTTATATGTTGAATCTGAATTCTGTCAACGGCATCATGACAAATTATGTGGATTGCTGTATGTTATACCAGCTCAATCTCACCTGATGTTCCGTGTAGGGGAGCGATGCACGTTAAATCTGTCGAGAGCTCAAGCGTCCTTCCGTTGGGTGGTAGTTAGGAGAGAGGGGTGCCAGCTCAGGTTTCGTCCTCGTCACTTGATCATGGTTCAAAATTACGAAGTCCGTCGCCAAAAGCCCTCCAGTACCTGAACAGTGCGACGTTAATATTCACTCACTGACCTGATGTTGAATGAGTGTTCATTGACATCGGACTGTACAACACAAGGGCTATTTGCGATGGACCTCGTAATTTTAAGCTTCGATCAAGTGGTGAGGATAATACCTCAGCTGATAACCCTCTCTCCTAACTTCCACACCACAACAACAAGAGAACTTTGAGCCACGACAGATTTAACGTGCAGCGACCTCCTCTAAACGATGGTAAAAAATAGTACCAGGGCAGACTAACGATGAGTTCGTAACCATAACTATTAGGCTACTGTGCCCCCCCATCTGATGTTGTGAATGACTATTTTTCCCTCATTATAATAAAAATTATTACAAACGTCGCCAACCCTACTTACATGTTTAGTATAAATCACGCAGAACTTACGTTCGTCAGTTTTATCTCTATTCCCCCCTTTAAGCTTATCTTCGGCTAATGTTAAAGAATAGGAGCCAAATTCGGAACATTTTTTCAGGTATAAAAGTACTCAAACATTAATATTATACATTCTGGCTTCACTATCCTGTAGAAAATCACTTATTTTATCATACTACTCATTTTTATACGAGTTGACACATTTTTTTTCTTTTATAAAATGTGTTTTGCATTTTTTTTTCCCTATACAGTAATGTTAAATGAGCTATCCCTTCACCTGTTATAAAGAAAAACTAATTATTTATGAAATATTTTGAAAATTTAAAAACACTGTATTATAAATAAATGCACGAGTTACAATGTCACAAATTTTTATAAAAATTGAGGCATTTTTTCTGTCCGAAAATATGCTCCGCGTCAAGTTCACGCTCTCGTACATACGGCGAAAACAGTCTTAAAATTCATGTAAAAATAAACTTTGTTTTTGTGCACAGATAATTAATTCTTGATAAAATCCGAAGGGAAAAAAAAGAGAGAAGATTCTCCATATGACAACGAACGTTATTTAATTGATTGATTTTTTACTAAAGTAGCATTTTTAAGCTGTACGAGGGCAATGAACCTCTTAATCTCTTAAGCCACAGTCAAGTGATGAAAACGTCACCTGGCACCCCATCCTCCTAACTTCCAAATCACCGCACACTGCCGTATAACGCACTGCTATACATCCAAGCTGCATTTCTTAATTTTTAGGTACATTCGCCGTATAGCGCGCACCCCTTTTTGCGAATAAACCTAAAATATATACGGGGGCAATGTTCTTACGTTTTAAAGTAATTTATTCGATGTATTATTCCAAACTTTGGGGGGCAAGTATTATACGTTTAGAACTACGACCCTTTAAGTTCATAAAAAATGTCATTTTTTTTAAATAAACAGTATTTCGACATCTGTGCAAATCTAATTTTTGTATGCACACTTTTTTTAACATTTCTTTTTAAAGCTCTCATTGTTATACTTGGCGTATAACGCGCACCTGTAAATTTCGATCATTTTCTGAGTGTTAAAAGTGCGCATTATGCGCCGGATTTTACAGTAAATCTAAATTTTTAAGATTTGTTCTGTTGAATTTTTTTTGAAAAGAAAAATGATTTATTTTACAGACTTATATATTACAGCAGATCGATATCCTTTGTTTGAAAGTCACGCAGTCATAATGTGGCCGCGGTAAACTAGTGGTTAACCTAGTGCTAATTGCGAACTCGTGGTCGGAGTGTCGCAGGTTAGATTCCTGGTGCCAATGAAGATCCGCCATGTAGAGGAGGCCGATGCACATTAAATCTATCGTGGTTTCGTCCTCGTCACGTGACTCAGATTTAAAATTACGACGTCCGTCGCTAACAACCCTGTTGTCTTACAGTTGGACGTTAATTTTACAACCTCTCCCAAAGTCATGTACCCGCGGTAGCTGAGTGGTATAGGTCTCGGATCGTGGCTTGCTTTGTCATGCGTTCCAGCCCAGTACCACTAAAGACCCGCAGTGTAGGACAGCGATGCACGTTAAATCTGTCGAGAGCTGAAACGTCCTCCCGTTGGTGTGGTGTGGTAGTTAGGAGAGGGGGTGCCAGCTCAGGTGTCGTCCACGTCACTTGACCATGGTTCAAAATTACGTCGCCAAAAGCCCTCGTGTAGCTGAACAGTGTGACGTTAATATTCAGTCAATCCAAATCATACCGATGTGAAGACTTCGATCAACAGATTTGACATGGGGTGAGAGTTACATTAACGATGCACTATAAAGCTGCATGAGGGCTATTGACGACAGACCTCCCGACTTTGAACGACACCCGAGATGGCACCTCCCTCTCCTAACTACCACATCACATTAGCTATAGTACATCGCCCCCTTTACACGACGAGACTTCAGTGGCACCTGGACACGAACAAGCGAAACTCCGGCCACAACTCAATCACGGTCAGAGACAATACATCAAGTCCAAGTGGTTAGTTTGGAGAATGAGGTCTGCCACTAGTTGTTTTTGTGTAGTCATTAGTTCTCAGAAATGAATTATTTCTAATCATGACAACTCTCGAGTGAGTGAAAATTAAAGTTGAGTTATAAAGCTGCACGGGGGCTATTGGTGACGGACTTTGTAATTTTGAACCATAGTCAAGTAACATGGACTGCACGTGAGCTGGCACCCACCTCTCCTAACTTCCACACCACACCAACGGGAGGACGTTTCAGCTTCGACATATTAATGTGCATCGCCCCCCAACCCG